TAAGCAGACATAAGTTAGAAGATGGCAATTGACATTGCCGCAGAAATTGCTAAAATCATGAATTATGAAGATTCAGAAAGAAAATACCTTGCAAATAGCTTGGCAGAGTCAACCATCTCCAAGGAAGATGAACTTTTCAAAAGGATGTGTGTGTGTATATATATATATATTAGAAGAAAAAGACGAAGAAACCGAAAGGGATAATAACAGGAGTGCCAACACGGATGAACCTAACAAGACTTGAGGAGCAGATATTAAAGAACTACATTCACCTCCCCATCCCTCTTTTCTTCTTAAAAACCAGAAAATAGGCGAAGGGGAGATGAAACCCTCGAAGGGTGTGAGAAGAGTCAGCCAGATCCTATATCAAGGACAGAAAGAAATGGGTGAGTGCAGAGAATACAAGAGGTTACGTTGATTGTTGAACAGCCAATTCAAGCAATAGAAGACTTGAGGAAAAGAGTTATAAGAAACTATCACCTACCTAGCTAGCTGAAGCAATATTGGACTAGAAAGAGTCTAATTCAAGTCCGACAGTTAAAAAGAAATGACTCCAAGGAAATTAGAAGATGATGATGATAGCAAGAATAAAGGCAGACACCTAAGGAATTACTGTAACTACTCAAGTCAGAAAACTACAATATGTACAAAGTATCTGGAACCAAAAACCTAAAGTTTATTAGAAAGTAAAACTACTGAGAATGGACAATTTTTTTATGAGGAGATTGCTCTAGGGATTTTTTCGTCTTAAGCTTAGACAAGTAACCAAGTATAAATATATTCAGGACTCAGATTAGAACATAGTCAATTTGCTGATCCATGCTGAATAAGATTCCAGGCAACTATCACTTGAAGAGCAAATTTCCTTGCATTAGTTCCCTTATGTTTCCCCAATACATTACCTCCGTGTGGCTATACCCATTACGTTACTTCCTCTGCTTCATCTTCTAGTCTTCGTAATTCAGAACCCAATTCATATTGACCCTCAACTTTCAGTCACAACCTGGAGACTTCGTAATTCAGAACCCAATTCATATTGACCCTCAACTTTCAGTCACAACATGGAGACTGTCGACTCGCCAGAACTGATTGCCACTAGTACCACCAACACTACCACAAGCTAAACAAACTTGGAACAACACACACCGCTACTAATTTATTCGCTCTATGCTATATACAGTCTAACTGACCAAATTCCCAAAGTAGTCTTTATTTACAGGGGCGTCTAACGCTCCTTCACTAATCAGCATTGTCAAGATTGAGAATGCGACGCAGAGTCTTAGTGGCAGAATCGGCACTAAGAAAAATCTCTCTAGTCGAAATGTTATGTTCCCTGGTTGGGGATGCGGGTGCAGACTTCGCCATTGGGTGAATTTCGAGAGCAGGATCAGATGCAGGTAAATCAAGTGACACGGTCCTCTTTGGCCGGAGAGAAAATTTTGGAATTGGCAAAGAGCTTGGTGGAGGTGAGTTCGAATAAGCAGGACCCGCCCACAATTCTGAGAATGAAGAACACCCCCTTTCGTAAGAGAGCTCTTCACTGAAAGAGTTTTCACTCGTATGGGAGGTCTTAGCAATAGGAATTGGGAAGCTTTTAACAGTGGTTGTCCCTTGAGTAATGTCAACAGCGTGAGGAACAGCAGTTGGTGATGGTTCTTTTGGGGAAGAAGAGAAAGAAGAGGGGGGAGATGAGGAATATGAAGCCCGTTTTGTTAAAGGTGTAGAACAAGACCTTAATGGGTTTGGGAGTATACCAGCCCCCGATTGGAAGGTCCTACAGTTGATCTCTCTGAAATTCCTAGACGGTGATGACTCAAATCGGGCAGGCCCATGTGGTTTGACCCTACTACAGTACTGATTCCTGTGCTGCGCCACAACAACAAGCATCTCCATGGTGATAAATCCACTTAGAAACTATTCAAAGTCGTTCCAGCAGTAACTGAAAGTCTACAGCCAAAAGTTAATACTCGGTCTCAAAACATGCCAAAGATCACTACTTTATGAAACGATTGCACCAATAAAGCACTGACACTTCAAAAACTTCTCTTGCTATATATCAGATAAGCGCCAAGCAGACAACGTTCAACTTAAATCTAATAGGAGCTCGATTTCCGAACACATATTCAAAGCCGATTCCAGATAATATAAACCTCGAATTCAAATCAGATTATATCTCCGCAAACTACAATAGCAGATCAAGAAATCCTCCCTAAATAACTGCAAAACCAAACACGAGACCAAAATATACCTTCAAATACTGAACCAACAAGCATAAACAAAAACCAAAAAAAAAAAAAGTACATTGTCAACTCCGAATAAAAAAAAACAAACATAATAAGAGCAAAGATTCTCATTTCCCTAGACACGGAAACAAGAAATTACCGGAAAGTGCGAGAAAATCTCTTATCGAAGCAAGTGATATATGAATCTGAACGACGAAGCAGCCACCGTCAAGATCCACCGGATCCGAGAGTGAGAGTTGTTCTCCTACTAGTTTGATTTGCGGTTGGTTATGAAAGCTGATTCTCGTTGCTTTGAACGGCCATGGAAGAAAATGGAGACCCCGAAGAGGGTGAAGAAGGAGAAGCAGAAACCACGGATCTGAACTGTCTCTCTACACAGTCGTCTTTAAATATCGGACTGTGTGCTCCCCATTATGGTGATTGGGAAAGTAGGCCTGGGTTTTACTTTATTTACGATATTGACATTGTCTAATCACTTTGATTTTGACTGTTTCTTACCTTATGCGGTGAGTTTGGGATTTTGGATAACGCTCCGCCTATTTACTTCCTATTTATGTAATATTTATTAATTTATAAATAATTTTTAAATAAATACATGAACTATAATATTACAACTTTATAATTAAATATATAATTTTATGGAAATTATTATATGTAGCAAAAATAGAAATAATATGTTTAATGGGAAAATTTATGACGTTAAGTAAACATAAAATTAAATATTATTTCTTTAATTAAAAAATTTATTTTTCTAAATACTCTCCCTCGTAATATTAATTATTTATAAAATAATTAATATTTTTTAATATATTATAGTTAGAGATAATATATTTCGAATTAAAAAAAAAAGGCAATGAAGGGCAATTTTGGAAATGAGAAAAGTTATGATGTCAGATGTGGGGCCCAAGAATATGGACAAAGAGTGGTTGGAGTGTACTCAGCAACTGGGCTTTTTACGCACTGACACCTGTCGGTTTTTTACGAATATATTTTTATTTATTATATATAATAATTATTATATTTTAATACGGTAATAATTTATTTAATTTGAATTAATAATTATTATATGTTTGGCATTTGGCAAAGGCGAACAAGCGGTTCTTTGCTTGGCGTTTGTAAAAAGTGAAGGGAGAAAAAGGGATGTATATATATATATATATATATATATATATGTATATGTACAAAAAAGTACAATACAATATATGTATATGTATATATATATATATGTGTATATGTGTGTGTGTATGTATGTGTATCCTGAATTTGACAAATTTTTTTTTCATCTCCATCTAAAGTATGATGACCCATAAGATTTAAAATGTGTGGTGGGTTTGGTCCTTTTACGTTTGTTTCCAATTTTTGAAACACGTAATGGAGTATGAATTATGGTGTTTGCGTATGATTATTTCATGGGGATTAACATTTTCATCCTTTCAATAGTGTATGCATATATATATATATATCTATGTATATATATATGTATGTAGATACGTATGTAAAGATTGTAGAAGCACAATGATGTGGTATGATTAAGATTTTCAGAGTTAACCCAATCTGACGTCGTATCATTAGAACGAAAAAGCAACGATTCATTGGGTCAATATCATATCAATCACCCAAATCCATGGTTGTTCATTAGTGGTTAGTCGGAGGTTGAAACGACACCGTTTGGTTTGGACCGGCCTGAAGAATTTGTCCACAAAGAACTCTAAGTTTATGGGCTTGGTCTAGGGCTTGGGCCCATCATGGATTATATTGTAACACGCCGTCTTCCCTGGTGTTGCTGATTAGACTCTTGATTCTGAATCGACTGCCACCTGTCCAATGCTCTGCAACCTCTGCCGTGAAAATCATCCAGCACTTGTCACCTCCTCCTTCCGTTATCAGTCTACGTGTTACAATCTCCCGAAACCTCGCTACTCTCCAACTTATATAACCGACCTCAACGTAACCGCCATTGTTATTCGACAGTACTAGGTATAATCTGCAGAAAGAATAAAAAGAAAATATGAGTCAGGGACAGCCACGAAGACCTGTAGCTGATCAGTACATGGAACAAGAGCCGATCAGATACGGTGACGTTTTTAGTGTGACGGGTGAACTAGCGACCGAGGTAATTCCACCCCGAGATGCAGCGACCATGCAAGCTGCCGAGAATATTGCCTTGGGCCAAACTCAGAGAGGCGGTCCTGCTGCTGTCATGCAATCAGCTGCTGACCTGAACGAGGAAGCTGGTTTTGTAAGTCACCAAGAATCCACCACCTCCATCAGAGCCGGAGGCGTCAACATTCGTGAGTCGGTCGTTGACGGTAAACGCATCGTCACCGAGTATGTCGACGGACAGGTTGTGGGCCAGTATATAGCCCCAGAGGTGCCTATGAAGTCTCCAATAACGGCGACTAATCGGGAGGCGATAACAATCGGTGAGGCTCTAGAGGCGACTGCTCTTTCAGGTGCAGGAGATAAGCCTGTGGACCGAACCGACGCGGCAGCGATAATGGCGGCGGAGATGAGAGCTACCGGCGGGAGCGAGGTTCCGCCAGGCGGGGTTGGATCTGCTGCGCAGTCGGCGGCCGTTCGTAATGAACGAACAATGGTAGATGAGGAGAAGATTACACTCTCCGATGTTCTTGCGCATGTAACTGAGAAGATGGAAGGAGATAAGGTGGTGACGCGTGTAGACGCAGAAGGGGTGATTGGAGCGGAGCTGAGGAATGATCCAGATATGGTAACAACTCCTGGTGGGGTGGCGGAGATGGTGGCCGCCGCTGCGTCAGTGAACCAGAACCGACTCCGCACCATGAGCTTCTAGTCCACTATACTTTCTATATATTGAATTCATTGCATGCTTCCGTCTCTGGAAATCCTTCCCCGTTTCTTTCGTCCCTACAAGTTATATACATATTTTTGTGTGTGTTTGTGTGTGTGTGAGCTTGTAGTTTCCATATGTTGAATATATAAATATATATACATATATATATGTGGATATATAACGTGTGCATGCATGTTTATATATGTAAAAGCTGTTGTATTGGAGCTGACAGAAAGAAAGACCGGCTTTGCTTCGTCTCTTTGTTAATTTCTTCTGTTGATTCTCAGTTATTTCAATCGTTATGATCTCAAACACAATACTGGATTTATTTACCAAAATTCTGATTTTTTTTCAAGTGAATTACTTAATTTATTTCTATAATTAAAGCTCATTTTATGCGTGTATATATATATATATATGTTTTAAGAAAATTATGCATATATATATATATATTAATGAAATACTTACAAAAGTTTTGTCTCATTCGATATTGGGCTTCACATTTCGTAGTGTCAGCCCAAAACGTGACTTAGATAAAGACAAAGTTGGGTTTTTGTTATCTTCTCATTTACTGGATCACTGTGCTGAGAACTCGAAACTCAACGAGATGTTACTGTCCCAGAATTATTTCCTTATATACAAGGAACTCATGGCCTCTGATTCGCAAGTACGTATATGTGTATCAATATATATATATATATATACGTGTACACACACTTCTCATCTTTAGGACCACCGTGAAACACAGCTGAAGTACTTGAAAACTCAGACTCAACGAGAGGTTACTGTCGGGGTTAATAACTTTTTTCTATGTAAAGAACCCATGAGCTCTGATTCTCACCGGTGTGTGTATTTACATACATACATGTATATGTATATTACGAAGACAATACTGTCTTTTATGAGGCTGGGCGGATAAAGTTAATGATTGAGAAAGAAGCAGAGGATGGATCGGTGAACAGTGATACATATTTTAGGGTGGCCGTGGGGTTAATCACGTAAATAATATTATGAGTTTTGGATGTATTCGATAACAAGCATGTGGGTAAATACATACAACACATATTTTTAATTATACATGCAAGTCAAGAGTCAGTACCATGCTGACTGTTTCTTGGGTGTGGAGATTTGATATATTGGTGTCGACGGGTTTATTTTATTTTATATGTATATATAAAATAATGTTCCATTGTTATGTATAATTGAGAGTATAGTATATGTATATATAGTGAGGGAGTGTAAGAGAGAAGCGTGAGGAAGTTTCAGAGATGAGTTGGGTGGTTTATGGGCAGAGACAGTTGCTATACATATATATATATATATACAGCTCACTTTACTGAGATTTGGTGCAGAAGATGCCTTCTGATCATCATTTGGAATCCATGGCAGGTGTCTGCTACGACAGTCATCATCTTCTTCAGCTGTGAGCTGATCCTACCACATTCTTATAATCTCACACTGCTCGCAATATCTTCTTCTAATCTTCCTCAAAAACAAATATACAAACACATTATTTTCATTTTAAAAGAGCAATTAATGCCAACTAAAGCTAACATTAAATATATTTATGACGATGCTAATCTCTCCGATAATTTTCACTGATGAAATCCCGACGGTCTCTTAACTCAAAATGTGCACGAAGATTTCTTAATTTTTTTGATTTAAGTAAATTAGAATATTAAAAGAGAAAGTAAATCATAATATTAAAAATAAATTACGATGTTATAGATAAATTAAATCAAATTAAAGATAAAAAATTATACTTTTGTGGGTAATTATAATTTAATTAATTATTATTTTTTTTTTCATAAAGACTTATATATATGTATATATAAACCGTATTATTTAATAAAATACGTATCAATTAAAAAAAATATTTTTAACCTTTAGAAATTCACAACCAATATGTTTTCACTATATATGTATTAATCTAATATATATATATATATATAATAAAAATTATAATTAGATTAAACACAAGTTTATGAGAAATTTTTGTAGATTTGGTTGGAAGAGGAATGAGATGGTGGGTAAGAGTTTGGAAGTGTATGAAATGGAGGACACACCTCACCCCACCATGTGCTGTGTGCGGTTGTTTAAAGGTCGGTTGGACCATCTTTGTTCTTCACTTTTCCTTCTTCACCAACATTTTCCTCTCTTTCAATTTCCCCCACCATGTATACATATACATATATGCACAATATTGATTACTTCCTCTCTTTCAATTTCCCCCACCATGTATACATATACATATATGCACAATATCGATTACTTCCATATGCAATTTGTTCACAATTGTATTATTTGGTACTAACTTGCACTTCCGGCATTAACAATCATTCCTTAACTGTATGATTGGTATTTGTAAACGTTTATATAAATTTACGGACTCTAATCAAATTATATTATATGTGTGATTGATGGGAAGTCATAGTATTATTGATTGTATTGATATTATGCGTTCGTATGAAGTAATTATTACGTTATATGATTTCTATTAAAAAAACTTATAGGACGATACATTTAACTTATTCATACGTATACGGTCAATATTTTGCTAATTAAATAAATTAATTTGTTTCATAATTAATCGAAATACGTAGTAAAATGTATACACCCAAGATTAGTAATAAATTTGCTCCTTGCTAAACCAAGGATTAATTTTTTTGGGTTGAAAAACAAAAGATGAGTATTTGCCTAAAGAATGTTAGGTTGGGTCGTTTTCACATATATATATATATATATATATATATAAAAGTAAGTTTTGTTAATTGAAAGCTAAGCATTCCAAACTTTGGTTTTTACAATAAATAGATGTTAAAGACAAAGTCAGTGTCATACTAGTTTAAATGAAGATAGAGTTAAAGGACTATATGAATCTAAGATAAACGAGATATTGTAAACTGAGTTAAAATACCAGCACAAGTATTACTTTCGCCGTGAATATGAGAGACCTGGATCTCTTAATTAAGATGAAACATCTCCTTGATTTGATCAATTATAAAACACTGGCAAGAATCGTTTATAGGAGAATGGACTTAATACAAATGAAGTCCACCTCGACTATTAATGTCTTAATAATAATATATTAGACAAGTTTTACGTCATCAAAAACTTATAAAACTCAGGTAAAATAGTCTATCATTACCAAAATTATTCATAAAACCACCCTAAAGAAGTTGTAAGTCACTACAAGTCTATGATCACCGTCGCTGAAACGTCTGTGTTAAGCTGATATCATTCGTGAGAAGAAACACGTCATCCAACATTGGGATATCTAGAAGAGCCATTAGTAACAGTCTGAAAATGATACAATCAAGGTTCTTGAAATTACAAGGCCATAGTGATGATGCGGGAGTTGGATGTGA